ATAAATTTTATAAATTACAGTATTAACTTTAATTGCTTGATTTAACACATATTAATTTATTAATACTTATTTAATTTATATTATTTATTAATTAAAAAAAAATTGTTGTAATTTTCTTGTTATAATAGTATCCGTACGATCACTACCATTTTTAATCAAAGTCAGTTGTGGAGTTTAGAAATTTATATAATTCATAAATTTATAATGCTTTCATTTTTCATATGTTTTACAATTTTTTTTTTATATTATTGTTTTTTTTTTAGTTTCGTCAGGTTTATATTAATTCAGGATCTGATTGGTCAATCCAATTATGGCATTAACAAATACTTGATTTGGTAAAATGTACAACATGATCCGTTGACATTATTTGATAATTATAAGCGTACCGGTAAGTACTTGAAATAACCTTTCTAAATTTGGAATCTTTTTTTTGAATATTTTATTAAAAATTATTTTTAAAAAATTTTCATTAAAATTTGATAAAAAATTTTTTATGAATGAACTTAATTGCGAATCCAATTAATTCATGAAGTTATATATATATATGTGTATATATATGTATAATTAAATAGCCAGTATGATATTGGCTATTGATATTAAGATTTAACCATGTTCAAATGCACATCTGTCACGTTTTTAGTGATATATAAGATTTGTAATTGGAATTTGGCAATGAGATTTATATGTGAAACCTTCAGAATGAGTATTGTATCGGCATCGATAATAAAACTATTAATTCACTATCGAAAAGTTGTAGTCATCAAGAAATAAGTAAAATAAAAAAGCTTTTAGGCAAGAATCATTACACGATAAGGAAATTTCTGGTAAATTAAAATCATTTAATTTTATATAAAAAACAATATATTTATTATTTACAATTTAAATAAATTCAATTTTATTATTTAATCTTTAAATTGGAAATAAATTCTTTATACAAGTTAATATAAAATTTTGTCTCATCCGTTGTAAATGATACTGATTGGGAAATAAAAAAGTTTTATTATAAGGCACAACAGTTACACAGCAGATAAAGTTGTTATATAAATTTCGAATACAACCTGTTATTTGTTATCCGAATGGCGCTCAATCTCGAAGTACCTACATTCCCTATTTTTTTTTGTTTTTTTTCTTAAAAAAAATGTAACAGCTTTAACAACAGAAAGTTATACTAAATAAAAATCCCTGTTCGTAAAACAATGATTTATTCTAAAAAAATGTACTATCAATAACATATATTTATGATTTATTACAGAATTTTGAAGATTGTGACGAAAGTAAATCTGATTATCGTTCTTACTCTACTTTGTAGTATTTAACATAATAATTTTTTATTAAAATTTTGGGATACATTTTTATCTTTACTCTAATTTATTTGTTGTTGCTTCAAATATTTGACCTTCTTCTTGTATCAATATTTCGAATGTTTGTTATAGATATTGTGATCACGGGTTCTCGGTCACGGGTTCTCGGTCACGGGACGATCACGGGTTTTAATTAGAAAAATAAACTTATTATTTCGACTTTAGATAATTGAAATCTTGGAGGGTTGGCATTATTCAAAGTAAAGATTTCATTTTTCATATATTGGCTTGAGCGTGTAAAAAAATTTAATATATGCTAACGATTGTACTTTTCTTTTAACAAATATTCCAGATCATGATCAAAATTCATTAATTAATAAAATTAGTAAATTCGGTGATCCTAAATATATTAAATTTAATAAAATTTATGGATTTCATCAAGTTTTGAGTGAGGGTGCCGCAGTAGTCTTTGAGGTGTGGTCTTCTTGTATTGTAACTCTTTCTCGTTCTTTCTCGTTAAAAGGATTATGTTCTACAGGCAGAGTAAGGGTTAATATGGAATTCTATAACTTTGTGGTTTTCATAATAAGAATCACGGGATGGTCAGCTCAATTTATCTGTCTTGTCCTTAATAGTTCTAACAAATTGCATCCTATTATAGAGTTTACTTTGAAGGCTACGCGAAGTAATGCATGTTTGATCAAAGTCGTTTCAGATCGGTTTCTAATCGTGGCCATTTTGTTGTGGTGAGTATGTTTTTTCGACTAGTCTCCCGGAATATTACTGATTTTTCTCTAATAATATTTAAAATTAATCAAATAATATCAATTAATGTATTGTTTACAAATTTACGTACGTATTTATTTCATATTACGGGATCGAGGTCACTTTGAATTGGGTTGAGCAGTCGAACTTACTATTCAGCTGACTTGGCTAACGAGTGTACGCAACGCTTCGTATCGATTATTCATCCAGAGTGTCTTTAGATATATTTAATGAATGTTCCGTTTTCATAAAATAGGTAAAATGGCGTTTATTGTATAGAACAATGTGTAAGGAATTAAAAATCCACGTTAGCGACTTGCTAACGTTGCAGGCGTGATCACATGATTTACAACTTTAATTTTGTTATAATATATAATATATATAATTGTTCGATGTATTAATCAAATATTATTATTAAAGATCATGTGACTGAAACTTCGATTGAGACGGGATTTTCTGAAATTAAAATTTTCAAATTTATATTCACAGATTTATTAAACAATATGAACTTAATAAATTTTTTACTGCAGGGTTTTGTGAATATAATAAATTGTAAAGTCACGAGTAATACGTCGAAAGTATACAAGTTAGGCAGTGCATTTGCGAATAATTTTTTCGTATATATCTTTGTTTCCTCCTTTACCTACTTTCTTCTATAGTTACCTTTTTTTTTAGCTAACTTCTTCTTTAATTACCTCCTTTAATTACCTTCTTCTTTATCTAACTTCCATATTTGCCTTCTTTTTTAGATACCTTCTTATTTAGCTGCCTTTTTTGGCCATCTTCTTATTCAGCTTCCTTTTTTAGCCATCTTCTCTAGCATCATCCTATACGTCAATACTGCGTTAAGAAAGATCTTTAAATAAAATCACGTGAAGAAGTTCCCCAGTTCATTATGGTTTTATTGTACGCTACTTTTTTATTCGATCACATGATTTTTTTCTTATCAACTTGCATTTATATGCAGTTAGTATAAAATTCTTTTAAAATACAATATAAAATAAATCGTATATTTATTATATTATTATACTATATATTTAAAGCGCATTAGAATAGACTAATCAAATATATACAAAACCGTGATGATGAGTTGGTGTAACCCACACGGTTTCATATCCTCAGTAATCAAATTATAATAGATTTTTTTATTCTATATAACTTTTTTTTATATAACTTTTTTCAAATTCTTTTTTAAAACAAAAGAAATAATTTCTTAATTAGCGATCAATATGAAGATCAATCATTACAATAAAATCGCGTCAGTATCGCGTCACAATATATGTAAAAGACAATAATACTTTTTTTAAAAATATACATAAAAATGCAAGAACCTTAACATCTATTTGATTTGATACATTTGATTTAGAACTCATACTCATTTGATTACTTTATTGTTACTTATTACGTAATCATCGATATTAATAAAGAAATTGTGAATCGGTACTGTAATAGAGCTGTGAAGCATCCGGCATGCAGAAAACTTTTATAGAAATTCGGCCATCAACCGGGCGACTGAGCTTGAATGAATTATAATAATATAAAAGAAAAAAAAAATTTTTTTTAAACCGATTAAATAAAAATTTAAATCAAAAATTTTTATTCCTGTTATGTTAACATAAAATAAAAATAAATATTTCAAACGATTTTTTTTTATTATTATTGAACATTGATTAAAAATAAAAAAATTCAACACTACGTGGTAGAAACCTGATATGCAAAAGTTGGTAAATAATGAAGTTGTGATCTCATATTATTCCAAGGGCATCCAAGTATGGAAACTATTTCCCATCAAAAATAATGGGTGTATATTTATACAGTAGGTCTCGAATTTTTCCTGACAAAAAAGATGATTGAATCTTACCATTTGGTTATATAAACTTCTATTGCCACTATTCAAATTATTTTAAAAAAAATCTCCTCTACGAACTCTCCTTAACCTCTTCCCATAAAGGAATAAAATGCCTATCTCCAAGTAATTATTATTATTTTTTCTTTAAAATCACTGCATAAAATGAGATAATATGATGCCACGTACAGTAATAAAAAATATTCTCATAAAAGATATTAAAGCATCATATAAAAAATAATAATGAATTTTTTTTTTAAATAAACAAACAACTAAATAACCCTTTAAAAAAAAAAAATCAAATAAGAAACAAACATATAATATAGTCCGTATATCGTGCATTTTTATGACTATAACTATGCCTTTTTAATTTTTCTATCTAGCTATAGGTATCGATTAGAAGTCTCTCAAGAACCCATAAGAGCGAGGATGTGTGGTTTTGGAGATAAAGACCGTCGTCCAATAGACCCACCGCCGGTCGTCAGGCTTTATGTAACATTTCCTGATGGAACTCCTGAATCAGAGAGGTAATTAATAATGAATACTATAATTATTTATTAATGTTTAACCAAGGAATTATTAATATGAAATAAATCCTTTCGCTCACACCCGTGATATTACATACATTGATATTATGTAATTTTCGGTATATGCCATCTACTATTAACCCATTACGTCATCAATTATCAGCATGATATTTTTTTTTTTTTTTTATCACGGGCGTTAGTAATCGGAATTATATAGATAACTTTAGCGTTAATAACTATTACATATTTAGTTAAAATCAAGATAATAGATAATTTAAATGCAGTATATTGTCTTTTATTATTTTTCTTTTTTTTAACTAATGATTTTAACTGAAAATGATTTTAACTGAAAATGATTTTAACTGAAAGTGATTTTAACTGAAAATGATTTTAACTGAAAATGATTTTAACTGAAAATGATTTTAACTGAATGATTTAAACTGAATGATTTAAACTGAATGATTTAAACTGAATGATGCGATTTTAACTAATCTGATTTTTAACTAATGATTTTCATTTACACTTTATAATTTTATATACACTAGTTCCATCGATCATACTATGATGATTATTCATGCAGCCTTATGGTCTGAGGATCGTAAAGAAGAACGAAGTCTTGTTATTAATCCATCATCTATACCTGGTCAAACTACTGGACCGACTTCAAGTATTATGTCATTAAATCCACCATTGTGTATAAGAACACTTGTAGGTCATTGTACATCATCTGCATACCTACTTAGAGATCATACGGGTCAACGAGGAATTTATTTTATATTTCAAGATTTATCAGTCAGAATTGAAGGTACATATACCTTAAAATTCTCGTTCTGCGATGTTAGAGGACTATTATCTCCGTAAGTTATTTATCAAAGTTATTTATCAAAGTTATTTATCAAAGTTATTGATAATCATTAACGTAAACAACGAATATCTGATCTCTTTTAAAATCCGATATTATTGTTCTCTTATTGGAAATTCATTTTAAATCACTTTTATTTTTCCAAATCAAAAATAGATCATATGAAGGATTTACAAAACTTCGTGGGGATGTAGCAGCTGAAGTATATAGTGCACCTTTTAGGGTATATTCTGCAAAAAAGTTTCCGGGTATGACAGGTATGAAGAGTACAAAGGGGGCGGTTAAAAATAATTTCAGGTTTTCATCCAGTTGCAAAAGAAATTTTCCGATAAATAATTTTTATGCATAATTTTTTTTTTTTTAATTACCTAATTTTTATTAATTAGAATCAACCGCGCTTTCTAAAGCATTTGCTAGCCAGGGAATTAAACTTACTATTCGTAAAGACTTTCGTTATCAAAGAGTGAATAATAACGATTCATTAGACCAAACTAATGAACTTGCCACTACTTCAACTTCAACTCCAAGTAATATCATTAAATCCGATAGTCCCGATAATCCCGATAATCTTGATAATCCTGATAATCCTGAGGATGACGCCACTGAAGAACTTAGTGATACATCACAGGAAGAAATAAAACGAGAACGATGAATAGTTTTAACTATTATGTTTATAATAATGTATAAATCTGGATTTTATTTTCTCCTCCTTTTTTTTTTAATTTCCTTTCATACATTCTTAATTTGCTACGATTTGTTTTTATATCAGTGCTTTTGTCAGGAAAATTCCGATCGATACGATTTGCTTTTATTTTCGTTTTTTATGCGATGATTTTATTTTCGTTTTTTATGCGATGATTTTATTTTCGTTTTTTATGCGATGATTTTATTTTATGCATTGAATGATGATTATTTTTTTCGCGGGTTATGTTTAACCATTGCTTCTTCGATAATTAAGAAATGGTTTTTCTTTATTGGCCTTTATTTGCTTTATTTGTAATTAGTTTTTCTTTTCAGTTATTTTTGTCTTTTACGTGTCTTAGGTCGATTATGTTAATATCTGCGAATTCTGTGATGTATGGGGTTATGTTGCTTTAAATATGGATTTTTAAGCTAGTAATAGATAGCCAGTTTCATCAAATAAGAGTTAAGATAAACGGTTTGTTAATTATGATTAATTAAGGAAATTGTAAATAAAAAAAAAAAAATTATTTTATTTTATTTTATTATTATTTTTTTTTTAGGTAGGGGTTCGGTCTTAGACTAATATCGATATGCCATAGTTAGTCTTAAGACCGGTCCGAACTTAAAAAAAAATTGTTCTGCTCTAAGTCTAAAAGCTGGACTGGTCTGGACTAGCAGAGTTTTAAGACCGAAGACCATAATAGACTAGAAAATTGACCAGTCTGGACCGGTCTGGACTAGCAAAGTCTTAAGACTGAAGACCATAATGGACCGGATTAAACCTGTACCAAAAATTGACAGGTCTGGACCGGTCTGGACTAGAAAAGTTTTAAGACTGAAAACCATAATAGAACAGACCAGACTTGAATCAAAATTGACCAGATTGAACCAGACTGTTAACATCCCTATTTTTAGGTAATAATTTACTTTCTTAAAATGCCATTAATTCAATTATTAAAAATTCTTTGTGTTATACACGTGAATTATAATTTTTTATTGGAACTTAACCGATAATACGTGCGTATATGCTTTGTAAAAAAAATTAATAAGGCATCACTATGATTTAAAACAATAATTATGATTTTTGTGATTGTGCAAATTTTTCATCGTATTGTATCACAATTTAAGTAATAATACTCAACCACGTTTATCAAAAAAAGTGGAGTACGAATATTAACTCGTAAATTTTTAAAAAATTGTTTATTATTGGTTTGCAAATCGTCATCATAGAAAAAAAAATAATAAATTGATGACAGTAAAAGTTGTATAGTATAATTTACAAAGTTATTAAACAGCGGCTCTAAATAACATACTGTATAAGTTAATTCATTACATTAGAAAGATCATACATAATCTGCATAAACAAAATTATCGCAATCTTTCGAATCCATATTTAGATAAGTAAATGTACGTATAATATGTAAAGTACGAACGTACGTATTATACATACTATGTTCTTATTTAAATAACTTAATATATTTGAATTTTCAAGTTTTTTTTTATATATATATTTTTTTTATAACAATATAAACGGCAATTCTTTTTTTGGGGGTTTAGGAATTGTCCGGGTTTCACCGGTAAATATTGTTACACATTAACGTTACGTACGTACTTACGTACACACCTCCTACTGACTGGAACGTACGTAAGTAAAGTATGTAATCTATTAGCTACGTATACATGTTACGTTTTTTTTGAATCGCATATTGCAGCTGTGCAGGCAGGGCACTAAAACATGATTTCAAAAAAGATTAGGTACGTACGTACGTACGTACGTACATGTTACGTAACTGGTTTTGGCGACCATATTAAAATGGTTTAAGACAGAAATACATAATGTATAAATTCGTTTAAAATAAATATATATACAGTATGCTAACATAAGTGTAACTATAATTTATATTATTTTGAATAAATGTATACTGAGTTGGTAATTTGGCTAAGGCGATAGTGCTGATATAGAAGTCAAATTCTCTTGTTTTATATAATAATTGTTTTTTTTTAGACAATTTATGATTATTGTCATGGACATTTCGATTTAAACTTTAACTAATCACGCCTTTTTATTTGTTTATTTTCTTTATTTAGTTAAAAATATTTTCACGAACACTATATTCGATATAAGTAATTGAATGGAAAAAACCGGTCATTGTGAATTACTGGCATATTGTTAGTTGAAGAACGAAAAGAAACAAAAGAAACGCAATTACGTCTATAGAATGAGAAAAGTATGATGAACGTATATTTCTTGTACAAAATTTCTCCTGACTTCAGTTTGTTTTATCTTGTCATTATTAAAAAAAAAACTGTATTATAGACGGTTTACTGCGCCTCATTACGAGTCATTACATTACTTCTATGACGTATAAATTACGTCTTGACCCTTATTATTACGGAATAATGACGTTATTATTAAAGTGTAATTTAAACTCCGATTTACGATTTACTATAAGGCCATCACATCACGTGAATAACCACCAAACATCTTGATAGTAGTGATTAGATTTTACTATGATAACACGTATGGCTAAAAAAAATTTATTAAATTTTATACTGCAATTGAATGGTTAGAGTCAGATTGTTTTAAGGAATTTTTCTTTGTGAACCATATACCGATACATTCTATCTTAATTTATGTACTACATATTTTTTTTTTTTATAAATTACATATTTGTTATATACTCTAAGATGCCATCCAAGCCGTGTTATGCTACAGGAGCGACCGTCGATGTTACACGACTGACTTTTCACCCGGTGTGCAACATATAAAAAAACTATTTTACAAT